AAGTTTTACATACATTTACCTCATTATTTAGAACTTTGGCCATGTTTAATATGAACATTCTTCATTGTAACATCATGTATGACACACAGAATACGGAAAAGCATAATAGGTTCCCTTTAAGTTCCCTGTACTTAATGTGAAGTGTGTGTTCTAACATTGAGAAATGTGGTTTGTTTTTTTAATTGTTTTTTTTTTTTTTTTTTTTACATCAGTTCAGAGGCCAGTTGGATAAACATACTTTCATTTTTTTCCATCAGGGACATTGAAAGTTAAAAATGGAAGTTTTGTGTGCTGACGTCACAGTTTTTGTGAAGTGAACTGCATCAAAGAGAAGAGCTGAAGGACGTTGGTCTCTCAAACCTTCAGGATGAAGTCCTTCTCGGAAATGTTTTGAATTTGGGCTTTTGTTTGTGCTGCTCCCAGAGGTCTCTTTTTACCCTCTTTTTTGTTCAGTAGGTGTGTACTCAGAGTACTTCCTTACTATGTTTAGTTCCAGATATTCTTGATACTTGCACCATGGGAGTTGTGTTAAAAAAAAAATCCGGAATTTTGAACAGGAGTAATGTGGGTTTTTTTTTTGTTTTTTTTCCCCCATCCTGTATATCGGCTTCTGAGCACTCCTGTGACATCTGGCTTCGCCCTTGAATCCTCACTTCCTCCTTGACCTATTAGCTTCCTCCTCAGCTCTGCAGACTTGGTGTTTGTGTTCAGTGGAAACATCTTGCATGCAGACTGTGTCACCTGCACTTTCCCTTGAATACTGATGTGTGTATTCTCTCAGGGGTTACTGTGATGAAAAACAATAGCAGATGTTCAGCAGGCCCTAGCAGGCAGACTTCTGTCTCTTATTCAGCTTCAGACAATTTCATGCTAAATTTCCCTGAATATTCTATCCTGTGCTCAGTGATGCCTTACTTCCTTTTTATTTGTCACTTTTTTGAAAGCTGTGAATGTATAGATTTAAAATTGAAGCCTGACAGCTGTTTGTTTTGTTCAGCCCTAAATGAATGTGACTTTTAAATGTGCACTTTAAAGTGAATGCTGGTGCCCTAATTACTCTCAGAGATGGACAGGGCTAATTTTTTCGTCCATTGCTTTTGACAGGTTCAGCATTTAAATGACCAAAAAAATGTTATTAGTCATGGCTTCTTTCGTTTTCTCTGTAATTCACCCAAAACTTTCTTCCCCTCTCTCTCCTCTCTTCCAGCTGGTTGAATGCTGAGCTGCTACATTCCCACCGAGGCGACGGATTGGATTTGGCAAAAGATCTCGGGTGGGTGGACAGGCGAGGGAGGGGGGATCAGAAAATAGAGGGAATGCTTAGACTTTTTATAAGTTAACGCTAATGTTGCGGTGCAGTGGGGCTCGTAGTTGTCATATTCCTCATGTTTACCCTTCTAATAAATATGCTTTCCTACAATCTGCACATTTTGTGCACATTGTGTTCCATTTTTTCGCTGTACTCTCCCACTGCGCAAACTACATGTTTAAGAAAGCAGTTGTAGATAAATGTTAGAGCCTGTTTACACTTGTTATCAACATTTGTCTGAAAGTGGACAGCTCTCTCTGTTTGTTTACAAGTGACAATAAAAGGCGTCTCCACATGTGTCTCAAGGCACCACTTCTGACTGGATCTCACTTTGTGTTAATTAACTTGTGAATCATTTCTCAAGTTAATTGTGGGCTATTGTTATTTTTAACTGGTGGGACAGCCTTAACTATTTAGAAATTAGAAAAAAATCTTTAATTGTAGGCCTGCACATAGTTCATTGTTCCCTTTCAGTCGATTCACTCACTACAACACATATACTATGGGATATCACACCCATCATAATGCCAGAGAGAGAGACAGAGAGACAGAGAGAGACAGACAATGCCTCCACACTGGCAACATCTATGGCTGGAAGCAATATGTTGGATTGTGTATCCCTTCATCTTATTCTTGTGAATGTGATATCTCAAGAACACCCTGAGGTGATTGCTTCAAATTTGGCAGAAACCACCACTTGGACTCAACAAAGTGCTTAGATTTTGGTGGTCAAAGGCCACTGTGACCTATACACTTATTTTGACAAAATTTCACACGTCTAATAGGATAAAATGATGACATTATGACATTTTATATTCAAAGGGTCAAAGGTCAGCTTCACTGTGACATCAAAATGTTCTGCAAATACTTTTTCCTGGCTATTACTAAAGAAGTGGGGGAGACATTTAGTCAGATACTGAATTGGTGACTCCAACCTTGAAACTCTTCTGATCGTTAGGATCTTCTGTGCTGCCATGTCACAGTATTTGTAGCTTCTTTACAGTAATATTCATATTTGAAGTAAGGTGCAAGGTGTGGACGCCCAGTGGAAATGAAACAGACTCCATCACAATATGAAACTGAAATTATTAGTTTGATCACTGCTGATCAAAAGTTGAGACGAAGCCGAGTCAACACTGTTTCACTGTTGCATTTTTCCACTTGCCAAATATCTTAGTGTTGTGATCACTTTATTTCTGGCGTTATTGTGTCATTGTGTTGGCTTGGATATGAGCATGCATCTCTAATTAGATAGGCCACAAACATTTCCCCTGCAAGGTCTTATCTGTAGCATTTCATTATTTCACCCTCATTCAGCATGTGGAGAATATCTGTCCTACCTCTCTGTCTTTCTGTCATCTTCTCTTCTTAAAAAACTCTTAAGCATCTTAAAACTCCTCCTCTCTACTCCTGATGCTTTTCACCGCTCTTTAAAGAGCTAAGATGCTTTGTAAATAACTTATTTTTACCAGAACCTAGTCTTAACTTTAAGGGGAAATAATTCCAAGAATTTCATCACTAGGGGCAACTCTTTGTACTAAGAAGCTTTGTGAATATGGATCTAGCCCTTTCATGCATGGTTTTTTTCTTGAGTGTTTTATTCCTCTTCAGGCATGAAAAAGTAAATTATGAAGTTCATTTTTTAACAGTTCTACATGTCCACTCAGTTGGACAGCATGCGTTTAAGTTTTCAACTGAAGAAATACAAACCAGTTTTAAAAATGCTATATCTCATGTGGAACTATAAAAAATATATTTTAATGCTGTTAAAGTAGTGTGGTCACATATTTTAACACGTTCATATACTGTTCAATGCCATGCAAAAGCATTGAACTCTGCTCCTGACTCCTCAGCATCTCCTCTCTCTCTTTCTACTCCTCCGTCCTGTTCCTACCTCCCCCCTCCCTCTTTCAGCTCCATCTTGGTTTTGAGAGATTTGGGTTGCACTGCCAACACCTGCCTAATGGGTGGCAGTGTATGGCATGACGCACAAGGGTCCACTCTAGTGCCTTAAATGCAACTATAGCATCAAAACCCATGCATATACAAGAAATGGCTTTTAAATATCTGTCCACTGTAGTGACCACTATACATGAAAGGGCTAGTTTGTAGGATTTAGTGGTATCTAGCAGGTTGATTACAACCAACTGAAACGTCTCCAGTGTGTCAAACAGAGAAAAACCTTTGACTGTATCAAAAGAAGGACCTAGCCACAGTGACATCATCCAATGGTTTGTGAACTCCAGTTCTGAAGCCTCGAGTTCGGCATTACAGCTGTTGCCATCTTGTTTTTGGAGCCAGGAGTGACCATATTTGGGCAGAGACTGGCACTGTGGAGGAGTGAGGGGTGGAGTCAAGGACACTATCAGCAAACTGCCTGTCAGTGAAAGCATACCAGGCTGTAGACATGTTTATTTCTGCTGTAAAGTTGGGCATTTTAACATTAGGTCCATACGGAATGACCAAGCAGCAACCTCCAGGGCTGAAAAATAAAGCCAATACAAAAGTGCCAAAAACTGCAGCTCCTCTCATGGCCACTTGAGCCTGGCACCAAGAGTGAGTTTCAATCTCCATAGGCCCACCTTTACAGCAGAAATAAACATGTTTACAGTCTGGTACAAAAAACTGTTTTAGTCTCCATGGCTAATTTCACCGTTAATGACAATTGTACGGTGGGTGAATTTTTATAAAACTGAATTGTTTACATTTTATTAAGGCTTGAAGTAACGCATATTTAAGGGCGGGCTGCTTTAAATGACAGACTGTCTGCTGATAGTGTCCTCTGCTTGTCAGTCAGATCCACCCTTTGCTCCTCCACAGCTCCACCCTCTCATCCAAATATGGTCACTTCTAGCTCCAGAAATCCAAGATGGCGACAGACGTAATGCCAAACTCAAGACTTAAAAACGGGAGTCCAAAGACCAATGGGTGACATCACTTTAGCTATGTCTATTATTTTTTATAGTCTATGAGGATTTACTCACTGTTAGAGCCAGCCTCAAGTGGCCATTAGAGGAACTGCAGTTTATGGCACCTCCACGCCAGCTTCATTTTTTAGTCCTGGAGGTTACTACTTGGCAAAAATATGAACGGCTCTATGTAGAGCTTGTGTTGGTTTGACTGTTCTGGGCTGCTGTAGAACAATGTCGGACTCTGTAGGTATAAACAGCAAATTCTAAGATAACAAAAGCACTATTTTTATTGTCAAGTGATTATACTCTAAGGAAAACATAGTTGTGAATATTATATACCATTTCTGCCATTATGTTCCCCTAAATCCTACAAAGAGGACCTTTAAATTCATGCTTGAGTAGGCTAACCTACTTCTACCACTGGAGGTTTACTGATGTGGGCACATCTGAACTTGGAGCCTTGTAGACAAACAGGATGATGAGGCTGATGATGAGGTTACAGATAACCCACTATTGTCTGTCTAAGAAAACGAAGCAGAGTCATATTGTTGATAAGTGCAGTGATAAAAACACAAGTGTTTATTTACTAGTCAGTTTCTTTGTTCTCTTCCACGAAAACACGTTTTGGATTTACAGTAATGAAGCTCCTGAGGGGCGGGAACGACACGGGGTGGGGTTTCCGTGTTCTCAACGGCGTGACGTAACCGACCGGGGCTTTCCTTCATGACGTCAGAGGGCAGCGGCGAAGGCGGTGGAGCAGCGAGAGAGAGTGAGAGAGAGAGAGAGAGAGAAGCAGAGCGGAGCGAGCTGCGGAGATTACACAGAGTTTCTGCGCTGCGTTCCCGGGGCGCAGGAAGACTAGAGGCCGCCGTCACCTGCCAGGAGCCCCCGAGCACGAGAGGAGGAGAGGTGGGCACGGTAACGGAGGACTGTCTATACAGCCACTCAAGGAGGGAGCCAAGATAGGAGCCGGAGTGGCCGTCGCATCGCTCCCCAGCCTCTCCTGTCGAAGAGATCCGGTGCTGAGCAGGGTAAGTGCCCGGCAGTGAACCCACCTCTGCTGCATGAGCTGTGTGTCATGGATTCACTGAGCTCTGCTGCTTCTACAGATACAAAGAAAAACGGCGACCTCAAAGGGAGTGTGCCACCACGAACCCTTTAATTACTGTTGTTATATGTATGATTATTTGCAGGCATGACAGATTGTCTGTATATGCCAGTCAGAAGGGTCAACTCAGACCAGAACCACCCAAATTATCATTACAGGGAGGCACAATCTCATGTTACATGTAGTCCAGTCTCAGTGCTGCTGCATGTCTGGAAATAATCATAAACTATAAAAAAAAACAAAATGTCTTCAGCTCCATTGTCCAAGTCATCCAGAATGTCTCAGAGTTAAAATCCTTTCCCCTTTCTTTTTTAAAACGGCTGCCCTGCCACTCCCTGGTCACTCTTTGGGCTGAGGACATGCTGCATTTTCCTTTGGAGAAAGAAAAAAAAATTTATATCAAATTTGAATTTAAGAAAGAGAGCTCAGAACAGAGGAGATGTCATGATACTGTTAGAGAGGGTGTTATAAAGGCACATGAACACTCCTCACTGGAATTCTGTTTGTAGCCTATATTTTGGTCATTTATCTGTGTTTGAGAATAGATTTTGTGAAGGTGTAAAATTTTCCAGCATTGTAATGTTTTGGTAGATTTGGTGAAGAGACAGCTTGCAAAATTAGGGTTTTGTCTGAATATTGGGGCTGTAAAAACACTAATACTCCATGTGAACAACAGCCAGCATTAGTCTATAAAAACAGAGGTTGTATTAAATATTTCAGACTTTAATTATATACCCGTTAATGTATAGGAATCTGCTCAACTATGATAGGCGATAATGAACCATTCTTTGTGCTCTGGTATCCACTTTAATATTTTTTCTAGACGCAGATCTGAAGTGTTGGATTTGTTCAGATTTATCATAGGACAAGTGTGTGAATCTAAAGCAGAACTGAGGGAAACAGCAAATAATTGTTATTTGTTTTGGATGTAAGTGAGCTGCACAAGCGAGGCAGAAAGTTTTGACCATTTGAAGAGAAGTTGTAAATGCTCTTTTATGACCGACCATGTTAGCTGATACAGTCTGAAGCAGGGCTGCACAATGAATCGAAATATCCTTGAAATTGCAATATGGCCAAGTGTAATGTCCAAACTGCAGGAGCTCCAGTTTTTCCAAGGTAAAATATGTCATACTGTTATAAATGAAACACTGTGGTGCTACAGAGATGCCCCGGCCTACAAATTATATTTCAAACGTAAGGAGTCACTCTTCATTTAAAACCAAATTCAATACTGTTTTTTTATTAAAATTTTTTTGCTTATGTTATGCATTTATGAATATCAGCTTGTGCATTGTTCAGCTATCCCTAACATGTTGGCATCCGTCTCAGAAATACAGAATTGGATGCACTATAACCTAAACTTGAGAATTAGCCAAGTAGCTGAACCATATTCCTTTTAAAAATATAAACAAAGGTTTGTTTGCGAATGCTACTGTGAACTGGTCTGGTTCAAAGGGAAACGTCGGTATTTATGAACGCGGACCCTAATGCTCTCAGACAGTTATAATAACAATCTAAGCCTGTCAGTGCCTAAAACACATACTTTTAGTGGACAGAAATCGACCACGCACAATTGCCCATAGGGATTACATTGCAGTCTGTTTCGCTGCAGCTGCTGCAGCGCCCTCTTTCAATATTGGACCAATTTTAAAAAAATTGTTGTCTCCATTACTTATTTAGACACAAAAACATGCAAAAATGATGGAGGTTGAAAAATACAGAAGTTACCCTTTAAGAGTGGCACACTGAACTAACCTTGAACCCTGGGTATTGTTTATTTTCCTTTTGTATTGGCAACATTCTGCCAGAAACTGCACATACAGCTGACAGGAGGAAACCTCATAAATAATAATAATAAAAATAATAAGACCGGTATAGCTGTGCTGGAGAGGGTAGCTAAAATGGAGGGGCCTATCCTTGCATAACCTTTAAAATCTGTCAGTTATAGCACAAAATACTAGCATTTATTGAACCATATTTTCAAAGGCTTGTTACTATTGATTGATAAATTGAATCTTCTGAAAGATATATGTTGTATGTGGTGTTTTAGAGGTGATTATAGCCAAACAAAGGCAGTGATCTCAACCAAATTCCAGTGAAAAAAAACAGCATATTTTGCAGTTGATGCGAGGTTGAACACTCTCATTCCATATCGGGAGCAGTTCCTCTCTCTCTCGTCAGATGTGTTTGACCATTACCTCATCCAAAGGAGGTTTAAGTTCCCGTGTCAGTGTGTGCTTCAAGTTACAGACAATAGCTGGGAATTACACGCTCAGTTGTCAGCGGTACTGTGTGTGTGTGTCCTTGTATTGTGCTGCTGTTTCCTTTCTGAAACCTGAATCCACTCATCCAGTTTACTACTGTTACTGCTGCTCACCTCCATCTCTGTGCAGGCCTTTGTGGGTGTGTGTGAGTGAGGGGGTGTTATGGGAATGTGTGTGTGTGAGGAGGGGCTCAGAGGTTTTGCTCTTTGCAACTGTAACGCCTGCAGTCCCGACATTAAACATTCAACAACTCAGCAATATGTCTCCTGAATGCACCTCTAATTATAGAAGCTTCCAGCCTGATTCCCTCTACCTCCACATTCCAGCGCATCGCTCCAGACTGTACTTATATGTTTATATGTGCGAGTGTGTGTGAGTGTGTGTCTGTGTGTGTAGGAGAGAGACAGATGTGTTAATGAGAGTCAGTGGGAAAGAGAGATAGCGAGAAACAATGCAGCAAAGTCTCCATTTGTGTGCCCATCTGCGTCCTACTGCATTTATTCCTAAAAATGATCATGTTTTATAAAGTTTTGTTCCTATTAGAAAAAATTAACTTGTTTCAAATCTGTGATATTTAATGTTTTTTTGTCCTCTATGATAGTAAATTAAATATATTTGAGTTTTTGTACAAATAAGACAATTTGAAGACATAAACTTGGTGAAGTTAAAAGTAATTGTTAGTTGCTCAAAAAAACGATCACTTGATTTACAGATATCTCTATTCCATTGTAAGTGTATAGAACTTTTGGCCACTTTGTAAAATTGGCTTCAAAACCCAACGCTCTTCCTGGGGGCTTTGTTTACATGTCTTCTTTGATCACCAATTTCCTGATTTAAGTAATAACTATATAAAGTTCTTGCATGGCATGGCTGACTATAAACAACACCATCATTACCATCATTTGATCCATTGATTGATTAAAATCTGCATACCAATGACACAGCTTCTGTGGGGTTGAGGTTAACACGGCAGTAACTACTAACAGTGGTTGGAACCAAACAGTCTGATTATCAGATCATATCTGTACCAAAACTTGTGTCTTGTTTTTTTTTTTTTTTATCCAACCCTCTTATCACCTGTCTTTATCACAGTAATATTCACAAAATACGCTCTGGTCATTTACAAAGTGGCTGATTTTCTTTCTGGAAATCAGCTAATCAATTCGTCCAGCAGAGAGATAGAAAGAGAAAACAGAAACACACCAGTTCCTGTAACAGTGAATGCAGCATCATTAAAGTGGTGATATGGAAATTGTCCAACTGTGTCACCCATTTCCATTGAAAAAGGGTGTGCAAACATTAACAGTAGAAGGTGCGTCTTCTCCACACACACATTTCATCCTGTTCAAATTTATTTGGCATTCACTTTGACGGCGTAAAATGGAGCAAAACTCTTGTTTAGGGTGAGCTGCTTTTTGCCAGATGTTTGGATGGTTTTCTAGGAGAGAGAATTATGCACGCGCACACACACACACACACACACACACACACTCACACACACGCAAATTAGCAGACAGTGTGCAGATCAAGAGTGTGTGTTGAGCTGGATTCCTTGGAAGGGTAGGCCATGATGTTTGCTTGTCAGGGTAGTTTTTCCACAGAAGGAAGGACTGCTTCCATTATCGGTAATATCACTCTCACCATCAGCTCGCCCCCACATGCACATGCCAAAGTCTAACCACTTTGCTTACAAAATAACACTGCATCCACAGTGATTTAATGTGGGTGGCCCTGCTGTCCTGAAAGTGTTTCTTGTAGATGTGTGAAATATTGACAGTAAATAATAAGTACTTCATGTTCTGTGTAACAGAAAAAAAAATTGTTCAGTTTACTGGAAGTGTTGATTTTCTCATGAACAAAAATGTAGGCCTGATGAAACTGAAAGATTTTTTTTTTTTTTTCAACTTGTGTTTTTATGACGAGCCACACTGACTTTCATATTATTAGAAACCAGTCGTGTGTGAAAATCTCATCATCATTCAATCTTTTCCGATTATAGATTTATATGTTCCAATAGATGTGCTTTATTTGCTTTTCGACTGCAAGATAAAACACAAGCAGCACCATCAATGTTGAGCACACCGATTGGCACAAACAGCTGTCAATCATGACGTCATACCTCCTTTTTATAGCATCAAATAACTAGTTCAAACCAAACTTATCAGAGGAATAAACACTTGAACATACATCAGCATGATAACAACCAGGGCTGCACGATATTGGAAAAAACTGACATTGCGTTTTGTTCTGTTTTTTGCAATATATATTGCGATATTAAAGAATACAAGAATTTTCACCAGATGACTTGAATAGCTCTATTTGGAAAGAATTAGGCTGACTCACCATGACACCACTGTATTCATATAATACCCTTCTATTAATCCAGGCTAAGGTCAATGATCTAACATGTCATGCTCCAGTGTTTCCCCTACCGTTATAAATAAGGGGGGCACCCCGTCCTCATAATGGCACCCCTCGCCCCCCCCCTGAAGGTCAAGTTAATTTTATTTTCTATATAGTGCCAGATCACAACAGAAGTCATTTAAGGTTACCTTTCCTATAGAACAGGTCTATACCTTGTCCTTTTATTAAACAAACAAAATAGCCTTATGTTATTTATCTTATGTCATTTCTGTCTCTACATGGTCGCACGTTTACA